GTAAAACAGCATATTTCATATGAACATTTTTACATGAATATTTCGTTTAAAGTGAGAGAATACCACGTTTATACCATAATGTCTTTCTAAATCATCCACATTTTTGGTGCACGTATCACCGTACTTGACTAACTGCTCTTACTGACTGAGTTTGGTTTTACGCCGCTTTTAGCAATATTCCAGCAACATCACGGTTGGGGACACCAGAAATGGGGTTCACACATTGTACCCATGTGGGGATTCGAACCCGGGTCTTCGGCGTGACGAGCCAACGCTTTAACCACTAGGCTACCTCACCGCCCCCTTACTGCTCTTAAGGGACAAGGAGTTCACAACACGGAATATTCAGACACGCTTTTAAGATAGAAATGTATGGCTCACATATATTACTCATGCCAATAATGGTTGTCACCCCCTTCAATTTTTTTTTATTGGAGAGGGGTGTGGGGTGGGGCCCGGGAGGGGTGACAACTATAATTGGCATGAGTATGTTTAAAAATAGCTACATAAATATGCCTCTATATGCATGTAACCGTTGTGTGTAATTTACATATCTTGCCTTTATATGCATGCAAACGTTACATGTAATTATACACATATTGTTTACGTATTTATGCATGTAAATATTCGTATAATTTACATATCTTGCCTGTACATGCATGTAAATTATGCGTAATTTAAATGTTGTCTATATATGCATTTAAACGTTACGTGAAATTTACATATGTCGCCTATATATGCACGTAGACGTGACATTTTATTTACATATGTTGCTTGTGCATACATGTATATGTACGTTTAATTTACATATGTTGCCTCTATATGCATGTAACCGTTGTGTGTAATTTACATATGTTGCCTGTATATGCATGTAAACGTTACATTTAATATAATTTACATATGTTGCTTCTGTATGCCTGTAAATGTACGCTTAAATTTACATATGTTGCTTGTGCATACATGTAAATGTACGTTTAATTTATATGTTGCCTCTATATACATGTAACCGTTATGTGTAATTTACATATATTGCTTATATATGCATATAAATGTACGTTTAATTTACATATGTTGCCTCTATATGCATGTAAAAGTTATGTTTAATTTGCATATGCCACCCATGTATGCATGTAAACGTTAAGTGTAATTTTGTGGCAAAAACGCGTCTCTGGTTATCAACCTAATCTATGAGCTTTCATGAACGTTCCCAACGACGATCACAAAACAAAAATCAAGTATGTACGTTGAATTCAGTAGTTTGTCTTGCAAATTAATGAATTATCTATCTAATTAAGCACAATTTAATAACATTCATTAAAATGCAAATTACAACTACAATGCAAACGCAAATAACGTACAAATAACAAACGATAATATAGGCAATGTCATGCAAGTCTACATTTTAATCCAAATGAGAAAACCGAGCTGCAGATATATCTAATTGAAACATACTCGCCTCTGTGAGTTCGTTATAACCATAGTTAACTGCTTGATCTTTGATCCGTGAAGATCCGGGTTAGAATTGGTCTTCAGTAACCCATGATTGTCGTAAGAGGCGACTAACGGGATCGGGTGGTCAGGCTCGCTGACTTGGTTGACACATGTCATCGGTTCCCAATTGTGCAGATCGATGCTTATGCTGTTGATCCCTGGATTGTCTGTGGTCCAGGCTCGATTACTTACAGACCGCCGCCATATAGCTGGAATATTGCTGATCGTTGCGTAAAACTAAACTCACTCACTCAATTGATCTGTATTTCAGCTATTACTGTCGCTTTGTCGATGTACCGGAGGATGTTGAGTATGCCCCATCAGATGGGCAAATGAAGCCAACAGAACAGCAAATATCCATATCCCAGAGCGATTGTGGGTGAAGATCCTCTTCCGCACCTGCATGGATACCTGCTGTTCTGGAACTAGTATGAGTGAGTGAGCTTAGTTTTACGCCGCGTTAGCAATATTTCAGCAATATTTCAGCACTGTCATGGCGAGGGACACCCGAAATGGGCTTCACATATCGTACCCATGTGGGGAATAATGGAACCCGGGTCTGAGTGACGAACGAACGCTTTAACCACTAGGCTACGCCAGCGCCCCTTCTGAAACTAGGACACCTTTGGTCATCAATAACATTTTGAGTGGAGGCCCCGACTCGCTCACAATGAGAGTATGTGTTAACATTGAAACATGTCACATAAAATAAGGAACTTCTGTCATGTTTGATCATACTCTTTTTCTATCATTTTCACACATTTCAGTCATTTGTTAGATGACTGGAATCAAACATACCTATTAGATGGAATTGCAGGTTCATGATTGGCAACTCTATTGTGATGAGGTCAACGAATCATTGACTACTTTCATGGTTGTAATTCAGTAATATTTTACTCGCGCTTCAGTCGAGTCCACCTATATCTGTGTCGGATTAAGAGAGTTCAGTAAACAAGTGATGGACCAGAAATTCCAGTAACACGATGGTGGAATTACTCAAATTCTGTTTCACTATAAACGATTTGTTAAACATATTAAACAATGTTTCTTATTCTTGTGTCCCTATCCATAAAGCGTTCGTAATGTTACGGCCTGTCGTATCTGTACAGTTTATCGTAGGCTTAATAAAGTTGTAGCCCCTCGAACGTTTTGTGGATCGGGACCCAGGTGATCTTGAATACACAATGTCATTTAGAAAGTGGTCAAATGTAACATATTTGGGACTACATTTCCTTTATAAAGTACAGATACTAGTACTGTTGTACCCAACAAATATAAGGGATGTAAAATGAATCAAAGCGTGTTGTGTTGTACATGGTCAATGTGACATTCGTGTCTATGCCACGCTTTGTCAGGTTTGTTTTGAGGTCAGTCATGCGCATCAAGTCTCGTTCTATTCCTTTGTTGTGAATGAAACATGACTCAACCACTGCACACAAGCCCACAGAAAAAGGAGGTAACATTTGTAGTGAAGGATCAAGATGCAAATCCACGCATGTGCTAAGTTCACATTCTTTCTGCTACGTACTACCCTCGTCCACGCTGCAGGCATTTCCTTGCAGGGGGCTGGGTGTTGTTGTGTGGGTGTGTGGCTGAGACAGTGTTTCTTACTGGTATTACAGTCCTCTTCGGGATTCCGGGGGGATTTCCCAATAACTCACTCGTATCCTAGTCGTACAAGGCAACTGAATGATTCGGATGTTACCAAGATGACTGTCGGACACAATCGAACAAATACTTGATTTCTTTATCTAGCGAGTGATGTAAATATTAACTAACCGTTTGGTAGGACAAAACGATTGTTCATGGGTTGATGTTTGTTGAGATACACATTATTTGATATATGATCTCTGTAAATCGTTGAGATATCATCGAAAACATGCAAACTAGAGATAAATATATTATTCTTAATATACCGTATATTCTCTAATAAGCGCTGGATCTCTTATAAGCGCCGGGGGTAAAGTAGTTCACAACCAATAACGGTAATTACACCCAGTAAGCGCAATAAACGGCGGGCTACGGTATGCTATGTATTATAGTACGAGGACTTCCTATCAGTCACATAACTACGCCTTACTCGTGTGAGCGTAAAATAATAAATATTCTCCAGTTTCATTCCAAGTGTGTTCTTAGCTGCAGTAGTTTGGTGAAATTTATCTGTGGCGAGAGGGAGTGTGAATCCAGCCGGGGTACCATGCAGGTATCAGAAGTACCGTTAGTCGTGGTCAATTGTGTGGTTGGAATAAATATTATTCACCAACTTCTAAAATACCTCTGAAACAGATCAATTGTGTGGTTGTCTATCCCGGGTTACTGCTGATCGCTAACCCCTTTTTATATTGTATATGTCAATTGATAGTTTAATATTTTACATATTCTCAAACTTGTTTTTGAACTATGCGATAATATAGTTACCATACTGTCCTTCGACAATAGCCTTACATAAAAGTTTACATATATTTATTTTTATTGCATTATTTTCTGTCATCACGTAAATTTCTAACTCACTCACTCATCCATTTCATCCATTTCATCACATTTATTAATTGTATTATTGTAAATAGCCATATATTAACCATTAGATACTAGTTTTAAATCTTAATTTGTAATATTCTCTATATTTTGTCTGCCCTTTGTTGACAGAGTTAATAGCAGTATAATTCATTGTTTTGTATAACTTGTGGCTGATAAACTGCCGATGTGACTTAAAATATTAAGGCACTCACACTCACCGTACTGCCGTTCCGTTTAATCGCGTCTAGCTACAAACTATTGAGATACACTACAGGTGTGTTAGGTGTTTTGTTTGTTGTCTACCGCCACACTCAGCAATATTTCAGCAATATATCAACAGTCTGAAAATAAACGAGTCTGGACCAAACAATCCAATGATGAACGATCTACACAAATGGGATACGATGGCATGTGTCAAACAAGTCACCGAGCCTGACCCCCCGATCCCGTTAGTCGCCTCTTACGACAAGCATGGGTTGCTTAAGACCAATTCTAACCCGGATCTTGATGTGATAGAATAGTCAAATGCTATCATGTCAATGGTACTAAGGAATTAGTGGAGTGGGAGAAAGGTAAGGGAACAGAATAAAACTTGAACGTGAGACATAAGTCTGTGTTCACTTATATATGTGTGTATGGTGCACCGTCCCGACACGAGTTACCTCCCTTCCATGCTGCTCGGAAGCTATTCAGTCCCTAGGCTGCGTGTCCGTTTACTTTATTCATGCGAAATCAGCTTCTCAATCTTTTCTTGAATCTACGGAACTACTGATGTCTAAAGTAGCGCAGAAGTAGCTGTTGTGTCAATATGCTTTAGACATCTGCAAAGATATTTCACGATAGCAGTGCAACGCCAGTTAGTTGACGCAAAAAGAAGGGTGGTATCTCGGCACGTCATATCCATACGGGGCATTCAACACTTAGCCTCGACACTACCTGACAAAAACAGACTTCACAGCGTAAACTAGGTCGTCTGACAATACCGCATTACACCCCAACGAACTGGGTCATTCATATCCGGGACGATCCATACCCGTCACTCGGGTATTACCCATTCGTTGTCAGTAGTTCTGCTGCATAATAGTGACTAGTTGAGTCTCCCGTCCCTCTCTCAACGCGTTAGGTGACTGGAGGTATGTGTAAGAATGTGACAGTCAGATGACATGGCTACATACTGACATACTGAAGCGGTACAAGTTGACAAACGAACAACCAAGAGTCGTGGCTTCGCATTTCTTCAAGACCTGTATGTATGAGTCGAATATACTGTAGTGGACATTTAGATCTATTTATTAATCGTCTTGTGTCTCGTGAAGAACGTGGGTCCACGGTTACTCTCAAAAGAACATGTAGTAAACAGTGTGAATACAGATGATTGTATTATCAAGATGTCGGACGCAAAGGTTCATATAGTGACATGCTCGAACTTTGAATGTGAAACAGAGTATGCTCGTATGTGTGTCGATTTGGAGACCCGGGGGGTCGTGTGCGTCATGGAAGGGAGAGGGGATTATGGCATCGGATCTACTTTTGTGGAGAAGTTCAAGGAAATGGTGGAAAGTACTCTTGTTACTATAATACATCTCTGTCCTGACATGATCGGCCGTCTGACGAATTTAACTGACGTTTTACAGGGTCACCAGCGTCAGAAATATTTATTCATTCACGTCAAATCCACGCCGAAAGAAATCCCGGTGGTTTACAAAGAAGTTACTAAGATGCTCTTAGTAAATGACTCATACTATAAGAAGATCATAGACAAGATTTTGGAGATTGTGCAACAGCCTATCTGTGCGTCGTCTGCTACTGAACTCACCTACGCTTCTGCTACAGAACTGTCGTCTGCTACAAAAGAGGATGACGACTTATATTCGGACACTGGGATTAGTCCTTATTTCAACCCACCGCTGACAGAGCGTGACGTGTTTGTCAGCCACGTAGAAGATCAGCAATGTAGAGATACAGGTGTTTACTTTTTGTCCAGCAAGATACAATGCAAGCCTCACCATCTCCTGAAATGTGAGTATACACAATCAATCAATCAGTCAAACAATCAATTAACCCATTAATCAATAAACCAACCAACCATCTGCCAATCAGTGGATTTGGGAGTACCATGTTTTAGATTAAGACATTAAATTCCAAGTCGTTATATTTTCTATGATACTTACATATCTCGGAACTCCATATTTCACACCCCTTTTACGAAAAAGGACATACTGAAGGGTTTACGTTTTTCGCGCATATATCGAAAGATAACAGTCACACCTTGGCGCAGCGTTGCTCAGTCCACTTAACAATGCCTTTACTCAAATAAAAGCTGGTAATGATGACGATCAAATGTATCTATAACTAATTTCAACAGATCTATTGCTTAATTTCAAGCTGTATTTACTTTAAGTCATTTTTCCATGTCATTTGTCTGCAATGAAAAACGAAGTGGTGACAATGCTAACCTTATCTAACACCAGTTTGCAGTGAGGAAAGTTTTTTTCATTACATTGTACACAGTTTTAATATATCTATACCTGGATATTATAGTATTAAATACGTCACTGTTTGCATCATAGTTCCAATGTTGTCTTCAGAGACGAGGTTTCCAAACATTATCGAAAGGTTTATTGAAACCCATGAGGGCACAGAGAAGTGTCATATCAGATAGCAGATGAACCGCATACACGTAAACAAAATAACGGGACCGTTATAACATAACAAACACCCACAATGAAAGCCATACTTTCTTGTATGCGTTGACAAACTTACTTTGTCGTAGCCACTTCAGCTTGATAACAGTGTAACAATCCACGTCACAAATATCGTAACAATACGCAATACAATATTACTGTTATCCATTAAATTAGTTTTGTACCAGGAAAGGCTGGAGCCTTCAGTTGTTGGCTATCTATAGCCGGTGTTTTATATTGTGCTTCTTCAATTAACATGTTTTAGATTTACATTCTAGTTTTATATTCATATCTGTGATACTCTAGGATTTTTACTGTCCATCGTCGACATATTTTACTTTTTAAAATGTTGTCATTTATATTGTAAAAATTGTTTTCGTCACGATATGATTGAGATATTGCCGATGTGACGTTAAGTACTAACTCACTCACTCACTCACTTACTGGAGCCTTTGAATATCGCTCAACATGAAAGGAAAGATGACTATCGGAAAGTTAAAACCATACCTGGAGCTGGGTTTTTTTAAGGACAACCCCATTTTAATCTTTCAAAAACATTGTGTCCAGATATTTAAGCTGGCACTATTTACAATCTACTTAGAGCTTACACGTGTGTGACCATTCAGTATTTAGTTTGAACCCTTGGCATCACGTATGAATAAGTGAAAACATTAGAATAATTTATGCATCTATGGGGGGTGGGCAGTGTGTCCAAAACACGCTCTTTTAGTTAACATGAAGCGGGGAGTCACTTTAACAACCGCTTGTGGTTTCAAATTGCCTTTTTATACACTTTAATATCTGTGTTTGATTCTAGTGGACCTCTGCCTAACACACAAAATGTTTCTTGCATAGTCTGTTTCCTGACGTTTGTGATGCATTTATTGCAGATTTTGCGTTTGTGGGGGTACCAAGATAAATAGTCAACCAAAGGGATCGTGAAGCTGGAACATAGCAAATCCATTTTGCTTCAGGTTGACAGATAATATGTCGAAAAATAAAACATAAAAACAGCTGCATTTATATCATTTTCTAGGTGAGGCTGACTATACTATTTTAACGCAACTATTACACAATAAATCTTTCTCTTTAACGTTCTGTTATATGAACCGTTACATTGTGCTGGATTATTCCCTCTGCTCTAGAAGCACCCAGATGAGTCTTCACTCTCCAATTCTTCACATAATAACTAGCTCAACACTGTCCTTTACGGAATGTTAATAACAGAACTCCGAACTTGCCAACTTTGTAAAGGCCCAGCGATTGCTGACGAATTTCACTATATTTTTAGATGTAAGGCATTCGCTGTCGAACGAGACCTTTATATTCCCCATAAATTCAATACGTTTCCAAATTTCTATACTTTTCAACCATTATTTAATTTGTCAATCCTAAAAAAGCTTTCCAGATTTATATCTATCATCAACTCAACACTCAAGAAACTTAATCGAATATAACCCAAATTAACCTTGTTTTTGCATTCATAAATTGTATGTATTGTCTTCTCTTGTACAAACGATGGTGGTTGAACGAGAATAAAGGAATTTAATTGAACAGAACCAAGTTAGTACAATAACAACACTGTTTTACAATGAATACACTGTCACATAAGGCATGAGGTAAATTTTACGTCACATCGGCAATTTTTCGGCCAATTTGTGACGAGAAACATTTGGTTCAACTATAAGAAATATCTGTCGCAAAGGACAGTAAAACATTAGCAAGTTATCACAATTTGAATCTAAAAACTAACCATTTCAAATGATAAAAGACTTTATTCAACACAAAGATCAATATTACATGTAATACCAGTAAAATACGAGCTATATACCACCAGTCACCAAAGCCAGATTACCTTACTGGGGATCATGGAGACTTACAGTACTTTGGCGTCCTGCATGAACCCCGGCAGGACACATAAGGCAGCCATGATACCATGTTCATCTCACACTTCGTTCCATTCGTATTCCGCTCAAACGCGAAGCGTCTCTTCTTCATCATCCACAGGTTGTTGACTTACCCGTAAAAACATTTCTGTGTATACCATCTCAAACCCGCCCTGAAATAATATTCCGACATGAAAGATCATTATGGCTTCTAATTTCAGACAGACACGCGCGCAGCGCTCTCACACACGCACGAACGAACGCACGCGCGCGCACACACATACACACACACACTACTCCAACCCCGCTGTGGCATAATATACTCTTATCCTTGTTTAAAAATAGGTCATCTCGACCTTTGTTCATCTTCATGTATCAACAAATTGTTTCCCCAACAAAGCAACATCATTAATCAATATACTATTACCAAGTGATTTCATTGAATAAAGTAAGACCCCGTGGTCCCTAGTATGGTGATCTACTTCAGTTGTTGGCTATCTATAACCTGTTTTTATGTTGTATTGTATTAATGGTAAGAAGGTTTTAGATTTACAAACTAGTTTTATATTCATACCTGTGATCTTCCAGTGGTTTCTACTGTCCTTTGTTGTCCGGTTCTTATAATTCAACTCATGTATTTATCTTGTGCATTGTATTTTGAATGTTAACACTGTCTAACACCAGTTTGCAGTGAGGGAAGTTTTTTCATTACATTGTACGCAGTTTTAATACAGCTATACATGGATATTATAGTATTAAATACGTCACTGTTTGCATCATAGTTCCAAAATAAACAAAAAAACATGACCGTTTAAAAATGACGAACACCCACATTGAAGGCGATGTTTTCATGTATGCGTTGATGCACACTTCCTTGGTCGCAAGGATTGTTACAGGCTCACTGACTGGGTTGACACATGTCATCGCATCCCAGTTGCGTAGATTGATGTTCATGCTGTTCATCCCTGGATTGTCTGGTCCAGATCCGATTATTTACAGACCGCCGCCATATAGCTGGAATATTGCTGAGTGCGGCATAAAACTAAACTCGCTCACTCACTTGAACGCAACTATTACATAATGAATCTCTTCAACGTTCTGTTATATGATCCGTTACATTGTGCTGGATTATTCCCGCTGTTCTAGAAGCACCAAGATGAGTCTTCACTCCATGTCTTCACATAATAACTAGCACAACACTGCCCTTTCCGAAATCTTAATGGTGTCAGGACGGGAAAGCCACATTTCAAAAATGACTATTGCCGGGAAGGCCACATTTCAATTACAAGGCTGTAGCCGGTAAAGCCACATTTCCAACATATTAATTAATTAATGGATTACCGTAACCGGTAAAAGAGTGTCTCCATGTATAATATTGTTTTCACAAGAAACGAATAATCTTTCAATTACAACACTGTTTTACGGTGAATACACTGTCACATAAGGCAGTCATGTAGTTAGACTGATATGTTCATCACAACCTTCGTTAATCGACCCGTGAAGATCCGGGGTAGAATAGGTCTTCAGCAACCCATGCTTGCCACAAAAGGCGATATGCTTGTCGTAAGAGGCGACTAACGGGATCGGGTGGTCAGGCTCGCTGACTTGGTTGACACATGTCATCAGTTCCCAATTGCGCAGATCGATGCTCATGCTGTTGATCACTGGATTGTTTGGTCCAGACTCGATTATTTACAGACCGCCGCCATATAGCTGGAATATTGCTGAGTGCGGCGTAAAACTTGATTCACTCACATGGGACTCGACAAGCATGAGATAATTACTGAAGATCAATTCTAACCCGGATCTTCACGGGTAAAATTAACCTGTGAAGCAAATGGGTTAAGAATATTTATCATAAATGGTTAGGTACATGAACATGGGCGGATCCAGGAATTTTGAAGCGGGGTGGGGTTGGGGTTGGAGTTGGGGCTTGGGGTTGGGGTCGAACCCCACATTGGCTCCCCCAGCGCAAATTAAATCTTCAATGTGGTCTTATGTCATTTTCAAAGGTGGGGGTTCGAACCCCTGACCCCCACCCCCTAGATCCGCCAATGATGACACCCTGAATACCGCGGATTTATAGCATATTTAAATATCTTTCAATGTGAGTATTGCAGCAACAAAAAAAGTAGTCGACATTAAAAAAACGTATATTGTATTCACATATGACGTCTATGTATCCGCGAATCTTACGTGACATTTATATTTGCTTCACCACAATGATATCGTCGGCAGCCAGGAGCTATCGCGCTACACGTAATGATATTACACCTATCATGAAGAATGCATGCTGAAACACATGGTCACAACCTAGATGATAACAACCGAGATTATATATTATGACGAACCGTTGAAGCTCGTCACAAGAGCTCGAGGTGTGGAAAGTCTGCTTTTCCGAGAAGCGAGTTCTTTTCAGAAAGTTACAAACGGTTTCTTAGAAAACACATTGCTCTAATTATTGCATGGCTGCACAAGTGGCCACCCATCGTGTCTATACAGTATACTGATTCTATAAGAATGCAAGCTGAAAAACATGATCACAACCGAGATATGGCGAACTTTCCAAGCTCGTCATAACAGCTCGACGTGTGGAAAGTCCGCCTTTCCGAGAAGCGAGTTCTTTTCTCAGAAATTTAAAAGCGGTTTCTTAGAAAACACGTTGCTCTAGTTATAACATAGCTGCACCCGTCACCGCCTTTCGTCTCTATACAGTATATTGATTCTATATATTAAAAACTAAATCAACAAACAATGTTTACATACTAAATATAAAGTAAGCAATTTGAAGATCTGGTGTTCTGTTATCCCTTACCGATTTCACAAACAGTAGCATGTTTATTAAACTGTATTATCATACATAAAGATACGTTTCTTAGATCTCATGCGCTTATCTGTCAGTTGTGTCAACACTTGGTCCAATCAATACGCTGGATTTACTTCCCAGTTTAACGTCAGTCATTTAGTCGGTTTGTTGTTTACCGCCGCACTCAGCAGTATTTCAGCTATATGGTGGCGGTCTGTAATCGAGTATGGATCAAACAATCCAGTGATCAACAGCATGAGCATAGATCTACGCAACTGGGATACGATGACACGTTTCATCCAAGTCAAAGAGACTGACCACCCGATCCCGTTAGTTACTGAAGACCAATTCTAACCCGGATCTTCACGGGTCTAGTTACTCTATGGTGACATAATCTAAAACTAAACAAAACCTTAAGTGTAATACTATAAAACCAACCGTGCCATATGTGTTGTTAAATGGACGTTAGATGATTGAGCGGTTATTTATGCTTCATAATGTCACTACAGAAAAAAACTGCTCGAAAATGCATTTCAAATTGTTTCTTTCAGATAGATTGTGGTGTCAGCACTAATTTCAGAGTGAGTGAGTGAGTTAAGATTGATAGTCATATCGGCAATATTTCAACCATATCGTGACTAAAACAAGTTTTCAATTCACCATAAATACATGTAAATTATAAACAGCCTGTCAACGAAGGACAGTAAAAACAACTAGAATATCACAGTTATGAATATAAAACTGGTGTGTAAATCTTAAATATTTAACCAACAGAAGACAATAACACGTCACAATTTAATTCTGGACTCTCAAAAGTCCAGAAACTCTCAGCACTGTGGACACTTTCTGACAATGGATTCGACAAAATTAAACATGCAGTTGTTATGAATATATGCTAAGGGTGAAAAAATGAAACAATTATTTTTTCGAAAACTCAAAATTTAAACAGTGGCCCATGGGCGAGAATGTTTAATTTCGCTCAGAATTCATGTTTTAGAGATTGTAAATGAATGTGTGTATGCTTAAAAGGATCATGACAGAAATTTCAACTCATTTTGACTTAATTCGGCTAATTGAGAGCGATATTAAAAATTCTCGCCCATGGGCGAAAAACATGTTGGCTCATGGGCGAGAATATTTACTTTTACTCAAAATACATGTTTTTCCAAGTTTTGAAGATTGTAAATGAATGAGTGTATGTTTATAAGCACCATGACACAAAATTTCAACTCATTTTGACTTAATTCGGCTAACTGAGAGCGATAGAATACAATATAAAAACAGGCTATAGATTGCCAACAGCTGACGGTAGATCACCAAACTAGGGACCATGTCACTAATTTCAGATTTTCATCATTACGAGATCAAAACGCATGGCTATTTTCTGAAGAAGAAAATTATTGGGCAACGTAGTTTTATGGTGATATTGTGTGATTTAGATGTAATCATCAAACAAAAATGTCTAAGTTTTAAATATGCGGTAATAAGCAATTGTCTTTCCATACGACACGGTCCCTTTCACTTTGGATTCCGTCTCCGCAAGTGACAAGTTGTCACAGTGGACAGTGAGTCAGGAACCAACCAAGTTTGGACCAAAGCTTATATCATTTTTAAAGGTGGATTATCGCCCTTTTGGACCAGTACATCACCCATTTCCGTACACAATGATCAAAAACTGTTTTTAGCGAGGCTTTAGTTCCATTGGAGGATGAGTGAAAGTGTTTTGGTCACATTCCTTATGAGTAATTTCAACGCAAGGATAGACACGACAATATTTACACCTGGCACATTGCTAACGAGCTATAATGAACATAAATTCAAAGCACATCTAAAATGTAACAAAAGTGAAGTAAAGGAGAAATACTCAGAAAAACACAAAGATGACAGTCCACACTGTAACACAAACAAACCTCCATAGATGGAATAACGCAGCTGGGTATAATTGATCAAATCATTACCAATTTATTATTATTTAAAAAACAAAAAAAACAACTAAATATAACATTAATTAATACTAAACTATACTCAGCTTTACTCAGTATGTATTTACTTTTGCCAAATGTATGTATTATGGGCCTTGGGCCGAATAATCCCTGTCTGTCTGTCTGTCTGTCTGTCTGTCATTATCAAACTTGTCATGCATAACTCATTGTAATTAACAATACCATATATCACACGTACAATTAATTCAAGTGAATTCCTGGAAACACATTTGGTCTTTTAGATAGATTTAAAGCACCTTGTTTTCCTCTTGTCTGTTTTTCGTGCTTTTAATTCCTAATATGTTTTCTCATTAATCAGGGTCATCCCAAGGGGAACTTCGGGAGATGTGCCACAAGAGTAGACTTTATGACAGCAGCAACAGATCAAACACAGTTCGTTGTCTTCTGACCAAAGTTCTTCCAGATATCTTTGCAAGGAAGAAAATACCTGAAATAGCTGAACTTCTGGCAGTTCCAATTTCTGTGGTGCAGAATAAAGTTCTTACTAAACTCAGGGACATCCTGCTTTCAACTAAACCTGAAGACATTGATCATTCTGATCTTCGGACAGCTGAAAAGGCTCTGTTTGAATGCTGTCTGACAAAGACAGATTTTATAGATCCTGTGTTCGTGCCTAATTTCATCTGCACGTACCTTTTGACTCTCGTCTATTTAACGGTGTTCCAAGACAGCCGTCATTCATCTTTGGATACCGTGATCAAACGGGTAAAGCAATTCATTTCACAGCAAAGCCTGGGAAGCAATATTCCTTTCGGTGACATAAGTAGTTTTGTTGATGACATCCGAAAACGTATTGATGACGTTGACAAAGCAGTGAAGGCAATTGGAACGAATCGGAAGCACCTTTCCACCGTGAAGAAGAAGTCCTGGCCAGTTCATTTTTCTATGGTTTTGGGTACACTTATTGAGGTAAAACAAGAACCTGAGAGTGATATTTAGTGAACTATTCTTATTTTGAACACTCTTCATATTATCTTGAAGTTAAATAAATTATTAAATGTACATATTGAATAGACATAGTTGCCTTTGTGTATCCACTAGGCTAAAATTTTGTCAGCTGTAGTTTTGACGCAAGGCTAACAGACAAATACATGACCAGGATTTATGTTAAAATTTAGTTGTTTGACAAAGTTATACAGTGTTTCGTTATTGCTTATCTCATTTGTGCTCCATTGATAAAAGTATGGACAGCTATATAGACTTTTTGGCACTGTGGAGTAATTTTTATCGACTAGTCTGTGGTTGCAATTTAATATTTCATCTCGCTAATGATAACTCATTATCAATTTACATTCGAGCAGTGAACTTAAGTTACCTATTATGCATCGAAATTGTTTTCACACCTTTCGTACAACAGGTGTTTCACGGCGAACCCCAGACAGCCCTTGCGGCCTTGGACACTCTTCCACTGCTACTGAAGCCAAGACAACCCAGAGTTAGGAACGTGTTGCAAAAACCCAAACTGAACGAGAGAGTCATACAGATGGTCACATCTGGAATGGTTGCATACCTGAATGCCTTAGGTTAGTATCTATCAAATGATTATGTAAATGATGGATATGATTTAATGTTTTCTTGTATTTTTGTTATTCTTGTTTTCAAACCAGCAGTCAAAGAGCCAAAATTCGGTTTGATTTCAGTAGGGTAGAAATCATTAGAACGGAGCACCGTGTGAATTTGCAAATTATGAAGCAGTATTTTACTAATAGTCAAATTACTGTAACATATTTAACAGGAGATACAGTCGGTGAGGATATAGAGGATCGTGTCAAGTCTGCTTTCACGGCTCTTGGATTGTCACTAAAGTACTTGGACGGAAGTATGTTCGGTATGGTGAGATGTTTGCTGTTTTCACAAAATCCAGTAATCAGACAAGGTGCTATGATCCTGTGGAAAGATGCCAGTGATGAAACAACTGAAAGTTTAATGGTGACAGAAGTTCTGAAACATCTACAGCCAATCAGCACCAACCACTTGCACAAACAACCAACCAACCATTCCACAAGCAGTGCAAGCTGGAAAGTAGCTTCTACTCGAATTGGTTCAGACAAAATCATGCTCCACATCAATTTACCTTCAGGTATTAAACTTTAACATCAGATATGAAATCTTTAGAAACCCATACTATAAGACATGAAAAAAGGGATCGGGAGGATCTTGATGTAATTTAGCTTGTTGTCTGGTTCAGGCTATCTTGGCATATTTCATAGTGCATACATGACAGAGAAAGTACATTTATAAACCTGGGTGTGGTGGGTTGGAATGGAAAATGTCAATCGATATCTATGGAAACTATTTACTTTGTAGATGCATATGATAAGCGTTGATCTCGAGTATGTTTTGTTTGAAGCAAAAGTGTAAATGTACCTTTACACTCAGGCACTCCGTTTTATGACGTTGTTGCATACATTCAGTGGTGCAAATATATTCTAATTTGTAGAGGAAGTCCTTGTGAAACATAACAGGAGTCCATTCAAGTCATCAGATTGTGGCCACCTCACTTCTGTCGAAGTTCTGAGAGATCTGTCTACACACCCGCATATTTTGTTTATGTGGGCATATCGAATCGACCAGTTCCCTGTGTTCTACATCACTGAGGATTACAGTCAACAGAACTTCCAAAAGGTGCTTTATTATAGTGCAAAGAGCAAGGCCTGGTTTCAACCTCTTGAGCTCATGCAGTTTCTTATACAAGCTCTGGAAGCAGTTATCGCCCTTCATGAACATGGCGTTATACAAAGAGATCTTACAGCTGCCAGTTTTGCATACAACAAGGAAAGCAAGACTGTCAAGCTGTGCCGCTTCATGTTGGCGCGAAAATGTGGGCGAGAAGAAACTGTTGTTGGTATGTTTATACTCATAATGTGTTGGAATTTTATGTCTGCTTGTTAGGCCACATACAAAAATATTCTTGTTTCTCATTACTTATTACAAAATATGGGTCGGGTGTGGGGAGTTGATGGGGGTAGTTTTACATTTGAGTAAATTTCTGTCCAAAACCCCTTGATTTCTGTGGAAATTTACACCTATTCTCCGATAGAACATCAGAACTTAGAAGTGTGAAAAATTCATGCACATTTTGAGAGTCAAATTTGCATTTTCTCTAGTGCAAAAAAATAATAAAATCTTAGGGTCGGGTCGAATTTCTGGGTCGGGCGGTAATAAGGTTGAAGAATTTTGTTATATAATGCCTTACATGTAATGACTGACTTTCTTGTTAGACAGAGAATGTTCGTCCATTCCCATGAGATGGTCTGCCCCAGAGTCTCTCAAGCAACACCATTTCTCTATGCGGTCTGATTACTGGATGGTTGGACATCTCATCTACGAAATCATCACACACGGCTGCCTTCCCTACTCAGATCTCGGACGGCAAAATGTGTCCGCCATAGAAAACATGGTATATCTTACCGAACACCAATGTAAATGTAACAAAGAATGAGCATTTGGTGGTATTGTTTAATAATCTAAGCATCATGTACCACTGTTCCACAAACGATATTGGTATCACATAAACCTCAACATCGAAAATATCCGGATGGTGTGTGTGGGTGTGTGTTGTCGCATGATCAGAAAGTAAAGTTACATTGCTGCTCATGTTCCAGATAAAGGAAAACAGAAAGAAGTTATACCAAGAAAGATGCATCCCAACATCAGTGTTTGATGTCATCCAAAGCTGCACTACTTTTGATGACACACATCGGATGTCGGTGTGTGAAGCAAAAAGCAGACTGGAGGAGACCTACGATCGTTACGTCAGCTCCAACGGTAAACCAATATGTCTTCCGACAGTGTATGGTTTCCCTCTCTGTGAGGACAAATAGAATATCACAGTTTGATATTTAAAACTAGCATATAACTTACACATTATTTTACTATTCAAAACAATACAACATAAAAACGAGATATTGATTGCCAGCAAATAAAGGTAGATCACCATACTAGGGAACATGGAGACTTACAGTACTTTTGCTATCTGCATAGCCCCAAGCTGGATTTACATCATCCCTACAGCTATTGGCGATTTAATTGGAATTTAATGAACATATATTCTACGATTAAAAATGTGGTCGGGTTAAATATACTTTGAAAGATGTGGTCTTATCAGGAGGACAATAATTTTAAATACTTTAACCCCTTTGAAGCCACTAACAATCCCACAATCTACCAATTACAAAATACCATTGATCTGTTTACAAAATATATCATTCAAGAACTTTCTAACAATTTTATTTCTTTTAAAGAAAATTATTAAACGGTATTTAACATCATTAAAAATATCCTTCACTGTTTTCACACTGAAATATTGATCCCTTGTGATGTAAAAAATTAATATTGTCAAGCAGAACATGCTTGATCGTGATTATCCCATGATACCAAATGGAGCACCCTCATCTTTTAATATTTTCTCATGAGACAACGTTACTTAATGACGTCTTCCAATCTGGACGGGCGACCAAGTAGGTGCAACCGATATTTGGCTCTCTTTGATTTTATATATTTATATCTACTTAGGTGCCCCTTTTTTTTAATTGATTGTCAGTTTTGTAATCGGAGTATGGGAATAAGAAGTAGTGCCACAGATTTGTAGAGTGCTGCCTTAGCAACAGAATTGGTCACTGCGTTACCGGAGTTTCCAACATGGCTGGGTAACCAACCAACAGAGAACAGAGTCGTATTTGCCAGTAGATTACATGTATATGTCAATCATTTCAATTAAAAGAGGATGTTTACAATATTTCGGTTTCTGTATGCTATGGTCATCGATATGAACACATATAACATTATCTGTCGTTTGTATTAATTCGTATGCAGTAAGACTTCAGCGCAAAGTGTTTAAAGAACAAATAAACTTTGTTTTTTTGTACTCTTTTAACTATTACATATGAAAGATTTGTGGTTCGACTTATGCGGAACACCAAATTCATTCTTAAAAACTTGTGGTTAATTAATACCGAGCGATTAAAAGTTGCCAAAAAGTCGCCTGCTTCACTCTCGCCCGCCAACGAAACCACAGACAGGTTACGTAACTCTGTCGCCAGAGCACTGCAGTGACGTCATATGAGGAACGATTTTCAGTTAGTTGTATAGAAAGTGTGTAGCAAGCTCATCATTTTGATGATTTCTCGAATCAACGACGACATGCTCGTTGCTCGTCAATTGCTCCGAGGGGTCGGGCGATGGTGTCACCATGCACAAATTTCCACAGGACCCCGCAGTTCGTGCTAAATGGGTTATGTTTGTGAGTGCGAAGCAAGCGTTGTGGAAGCCTGAAACGATATCTTACTTGTGTTCAGATTGCTTCACGGAAGTTAAGAATCAAAACTACTTACTAGTTGTAGTAAAATATGTATATGATTGATGACCATAAAGATTTTCCATGACACAACTTGTAACATAACGATTTCTTCCTCGGAAGCGAGGTTCTGGTCGAAGTAAAAATAATATTGTAAGTAGTATTATATTGACACCCACCTCGCTGCCACGAGAGAAATTGTTATGTTATAAGCTATGTCATGCAAAATCCTATTGGCCATCAATCAAATACATATTTTACTACCAGTAGAAAGTAGTTTTGATTTTGTAACTCGGTGAAAACAAACCTAAATAGCATTTATCCTCAGACTGGCGGATGTTCGCGACAGGGCGCCGCCATTTTTGAAAATCGTAAAGTGACGGGCTAAAGTCTGTTAGAATTAATGAGATTATGGTTTGTTTTCATCAAGTTAGAAAATCAAAACTACTTTCTACTCGTAGTTAAATATGTATTGGAATCATAACCAAAAGGATTTTGCATGACACAACTTATAACATAACGATGTCTTCCACGGAAGCGAGGAGGGGGTCGAAGTCACAAAACTGCGCGATAAATTTCTTGCTATATACACATGGTTAACGTCCACTCACAAGTATGTAGATACTAGTCACTGTACGTCTTTATGTTTGGTCTTATAATCCTAATTAGTTTATTATCATACTTGTATGCATTTTGAAACTAAATAAAAAGCAGACGATCTGCTGATACTTATAGTGAATTTATAACAGAACTGTAATATCTAGACAGTTTATAGTTTGCCAATGTGAATCATAATTCGCACACACACCCTAGCGTATGTTGTCTGTCTCATTACACTTCACGGCGAAAACAATGATTCTGTTGAATGCTACGACAAATGAATAAAAACAAAATGCAAATATTAAACTTAAAACAGATTAAAGTTATAGGAACAATGTCAGGCTATTACCTTGTTCGAGGAATGTATCCATCAATATCCACAAAAACGAGTGATATGCCATCCATCTGCAGCTGTTCCAAGTAATGTGTCTTTTTAACAGTTCCAAGTGATATCGTGTCTTTTCAACAGTCTCATTGGTCACCCAAGAGTGCATACCTCGCAACAGGTAATGTCACATTGGTTTAAAACAGTAATTTGGTCACCCAAGATCAATCAATGTATTGCTGGTTAACTAATTGAAAGAATGTCCATCTTTCTTTAAAAACAGTCATTTAGACAGAGTGTATTCAGTATAGATTAGTAAATCTACATACATAAACACTACCTTTTGACAATTCCGCTGTATAAGATAAAAGTAATTAATCAATCAGCGTGTTATCGGTTAATCCTTTGATCGATGTTGACAATGTTGAATATTTACTCCAGACACAAGAAATGCCAAATGGGAACCTTTGTCGCGTAATCAGAGTGTGTTACAACTAATTATACCTGTTATAAATTCATTAACTGACCATCAAGTGAATGCTGACAAATAACGTGTAGGTTTATACCACCTAACACGGGTTACAACAAGGGAGTACTAATTGCTGTATTGCATGTGAAAACTTATGGGCCGACTGTTTTGAGAATACAAACAGATTTTTACATGACATGATTAAATATCGAGGTAAAAATACACAGAAATGGGATCAATTTGGATCAGTCATTATACAAATAAGGCCTAACGACACCAAGCGATTTTGACAGAATCGTCTATGAAAACAAGTTGTAACTCGGAAACTAGGCAAAGCAGGAGACAAAATTAAATGACAGTAGATTGTGAGAACATATAGCTTTCATTTTCCACAATAGTTGTCACGATTTCAGGTTTATACAAACCTGTAAACAAGATAATTTACCCCCTGAAATGTAGATGAATTCTGCATCGGCCCTCATATCTATTCCTCATATGACGTCACAGAGACTCCCTGCTCTGATTGGTTGAAATTTCGTTCGCGGGTGAGAATTGTGCACTGTTGTCAAAAAGGTCGATTTAAGTTAATTAAAGACCGAAGTGAGTAGTTTTAATGACGGGGTTTCATTTATAGCGATGCCAGTTAGTGAGTTATGTATTTGTACCCCCCTAGAGTATATGTGATCTTTAACATAGATTACCCATACATTTTTTGTGCATACACTTTTCATTATCATGTCATAAAGCCTGTTTGTATGTTTTGTACATTGTGCATTTCTTGCTATTTTGTTTTGGTAGATCTACCTGAAAAGATATCTTCCGTGACACCAGACATTTTGTTTCCTGGACTTGACAGAACATCCTATCAGGATCTCCCTAACGAAGTAGGTGTCCAAACTTTCTGTTTTCTCATAATGACTAAACAATGCCTTTTCTGCAGCACACCGTTTTTATAGACATTATATTTTACATATATCACAATCCTGTTGGTATTTCTAATACAAGAAACAATCAAGGTCAATTTAAAGTGAAACAATATGTTTCAGGATATCAAGAACTTAATATTTTATTTTTCAGGATTCAGAAAGAGACGATGGTTATGGTACGTTCCTCCTGACATCTTATCATACTTTGAGGCCACAATAATGATATGTCTATACATCATCATCATCATCAAACCTCTACTGATTTGTCTTTTCCCTGTTATTTCATAATTATCAAATCATTTAGTCTCATTCATATACTATTTTGAGCAACAGTATACAAGATATACGAAATATGTTCCAGTCCGTTTTTGAATCTCCTTTTTCTGATCCGGAAACAGTAAATGAGACAGGTTTGGTTTGGCTGATCCAGCAAGTCCACGTATCTGTATACATTAGCATGCATTGTTTACCGCAGTTACATATACCTCCTAAGCATGAAAATATGAAAATGACTGCATCGCCCTTGAGAAGAATATCACACGTTAAACCCAAGTGGGTAATCAAATACGGGAAGAGCGAATGCCAAACCATTAAGCTACCCCCTGAGTACATCGTCTTGGTACTATCTGTGGGATTAAGAGCAATAATTATCTGCAGTAGTTTCCCTTGACGAACCATAATCTGCACATGCTTGTCATAAATACCTTAATGTAATATGTCTTTATAACAGATGATGCAGTTCATGACTACCAAAACTTTAAAGAAAGTCAAACCTCCTCGTCAGTAGAAGAACCGTTGTATGAAGAATTGGGACCCAAGGAAGATGTGGGTTCTCTGGTAAGGAGAATCACTTTTCCCTCTGTATTGCCGTCTGTGCAGAGTTGCAATGTACCATTATTTCACATCCAGGATCCTTCAGCTCGTACCCAAACATAGTATCTACCTAAAAAACTGAAATATACTTGTCGAATATTCAACAACGACCTGAACACCCATTTGATTCCATTTAGTGTCGATATTAGTTGTCACTGTAGTAGCCCTATGATGTGAAGTAAATTGAAATGTTCATACCATGTACATCAAACGCGTGGCATTACAAGATGGTTTATTATCGGAAATTAATCTGCCAGTTCCGGTACATTTGTTTTTAAAAAAAATCACTTACTTTGATGTAATCCCTTCCACACAAGCATCAGATTACAATATCACTATTTATTCCCTCATACGATTCTTAGCTGAAACCAAACCAGAGGATGGATGTACTGCGTCGACGCCTGACACAAACAGAGGAGTCACAGTTGAATACAGAAAACATCCCAGGAATATACGGCTGTGTGACTGTTGAAGAAAGCAATCAAACAGAATACCTGGTAAACATGTCACCTAATAATGATGATATCAGCAGAATGTTTCCATAGCCAATTCAGATTCTTTGATCTTTTCAACAAAACATACACTCAGAGGATCTGTGGAACAAGTATAAGCTACGCATCCTTTATATACAACAATCGTATTTACGGTCTTAACAGTTAATCCACCAATAATATTATTGTGTAGACAACATGATTAACAATTATGATTTCGCCTCTCCTTAGAAATAGAAAGATGCATATATATAATAACAATCCCATTTGTAGCAAAGGTACATTGCAATTCACAGGTGTACGATTTCCCAACTGGACACTGTGTTTCCTTGAGCAACGTGGTGGACGTTAGGAGCTTCGGCCTCTGGTCTGTGAAGTACATTCGCTGTTTGAGTGCAGTAGCAAGGACGTTGTCTCTTCTTCATCAGCGAAACTGGGTCCATGGTTGTCTGAGTACAGATAACATATGGATATGTGATACTAAAGATGATGGCGATTACAAGGTGAGGGCGGCATGTAATAAGGTTCATGCTACCATCCTATGTCCTCAAAGATATATTATGGCATTTACATAATGCACGCAATTGTATATATCCACGCAACTAATACATGCTCAACGTGCTGGGGTTTTCCCTCAATCATTGGTTGTCAATCTCAACGGCGCTTCGTATTATCAATCTCAACTCTCTGAGGAACATACAACTCTTGCAGCCACTAGGCGCACCAAGTTATTGCGGCTTTCCCCTCCTTACGAGGTACCCATTGACAGCTGTGTGGACTGGAACACATAGTCAAGGTACTAGGTACATAGATAGATAGATGCACGTATTCATGTAGCCACCATCTGGTCATTTACCAACGGATACGTGGGTTCTTTTAAGTGCACAGGGTTGTGTGTTGTACACTAGGGGCTGTGACAACACTCAAAGAGTCTTCACACAACGTTGACTCCAAGCTTTTTACACCCGGTCACAAGTGGGCTCGATTCCGGCACCTCAAGCTCACTAGCGCCTTAGACAGCTCTCCCACCAAGCCCAAAGACATCTGGTTGACACCAGCCAATGCTTGTATTTAGTGATGAAACTACTAAGCTGATCTGGAAATAAGAAGGGCCACACGAGTGGTCAATTGACTGACAGGGCGCCGCAATTAGACGAACCGATCTCCTGTCACTAACGCATGACATAAAACTTTGTTCGTGGGTTCGAATCTCCGCTCTCCAAGGATTAGCCCCATTTCGAGCTTTTCCTAAGGCTGACAAGTATAACAAATATAATCCTCTACAAATGCAATCAAATCCCCTTACTGTTTTGCCCATCTCAACACATTAACTCAATTCTCCGATAACAATTGCTTAGTGACTCCACCAGATAAACCTCTTAATTCTCTTCAGCAACCGGAGAGAAATAAAGACATACTAATTCCTTCCGCTTGCTAAGCTGCTATCCTCATAATCTTATAGAATAGTTGTCAAGTCGTTCAATGAGATAAATGTGATATTTGACAAAAATATAACCTCACTATCTCATCTGAATTTGCACCTAACAAACTTCCCTCTCTTCATGTCACAGGTATACTTCTCTGACCTTGGGTACATACGAAGATCATGTAACATTGAGGATGGGGTGATTGCTGATGAAAGTTTTGTTGTCCCACAGGATGAACATGTGTACAGAAGGTAGGGTCTTGGGTTTCATAAACTTTGTCATTTTATGGCGATTTATTTACATAACAGGTTCTCAAATTTCAGGATATCAGTACTATAAGAGTCTCAGTGCCTATCCACTTCGAAGCAGGAATTCACTATACAGAGTAGTTACCATGTTCGTTGATTTTACCCAAGTGCCCCTTACTGCATCTCTTTCTTCTTACATTCAGGGGCGGTGGGAGAGCTTAGTGGTTAAAGCGTTCGCTCTTCACGCTGAAGACTTCACGTTCGAGTCCCTACCTGGGTACAATGTGTGAAGCCCATTACTTGTGTCACCCACCGTGATATTGCTGAAATATTGTTAAAAGCGGCGTAAAACTAAACTCACTCCCTCTTCTTACATTTCGTTTACAGTCCGTAATATCACTGTAATATAAGGCAGCGTCAAACCTACTCGTAACATATTCGCCCTCATTAAAAAAATGTTTGATATAGCTTCGTCCCTACTGATACATCATTTGGTTTTGCCAGATCATCTCCTGAGGTAATACGAGATGGTACCTACTCATGGGCGAGTGATGTCTTCAGTTTTGGTCTGATCCTGTGGAGTGGCTTCTCCAACTTTAGCTCCTACCATAATCAAAAGGATCTAAACAAACTCGAGAGTATTCCAAAAGATAAGGTAGCTTCATTGCTGAAGAGCATTTATTTTCAATTTGTCGTGATGCACCGTCCTCAGTTCCTGTGTCAGGCATAAGCTCTGCTAATGATGTCTGGTTGATCTGACCCCTTTTGTCATCGTTGGTTTCATCAACGGCATGTTTTGCACAAACATTACACTGCCGTACACTAACTACCCAGAATTAAAACATTACTTCAACCATCTACTCAGCTATTGTGATCAGTTGTCCTGTATCCAACACCCCCCAGATAGGTGTTAAACATTAGCCTGCTGATGATCTTCTTTTCACAGTTATATGAGTACCTGACCACTACATCTGGAAATCAGATTCTTCCCAAACCGGCTAAGTGTCTGGATTCAATCTACTCTCTCATGCTTCTCTGTTGGAGTCCTGAACGACATGAACGACCACGGATGACTATTGTTCAACAAAAACTCTTGGAATCCATAAGGTATTTGTAGAAAAAAAAAACTTTGCAATCAACATTTGTAAAACCACATTTTTGTATATTCTACTTTTCGTCTATTTTGTGTACCATATGCGTTTTAAACGATTCTTAATATTTGCAAGTGGATTAAGATACTGAATATGCTATCATACACAATTATTCCATTCAAAATGTCGGGAATGGAATCAAACATGAGCAGATCCTGATGAACTTCATCAAAGCCATCATCTTGATTTAAAACCAGTGTCAATTTTGTCTACCTCAACCGTTTGAAATTCTCCTTTCGAGAAGATGGAATCACCTGAATTGCTCTGCCCATTTGCCATTACTTTAACATTGTGCATGTAATTTCAGCGATGAAGTCCGTCCCTGTCAAGATCGGGATCAATATGATTCTGTCGTTACTGAAGGGCAATCAAGTGAAGATGATCTTTATGCCAATCCTGATCCTGATCCATATTACACCGAAACCAAAGTGTCAAGTCGCCATAATACTGTGGCGGAATGCTCAGAGATTAATAGGTTACCTTCGCCATTTTCTCCTGCAACACAAGCAGGCGGCAGTACAACAGCCTTCCATCAAGAAAAGTTAAAAAGGCAAAGTCCCAAGACATCCCAAGCTCCGCAGACCATAGCGTCTGGTGACTATGACGAAGTGGAGAATTCCTCCTTACAACATGATGGGTCGAGATCGTCCTATATTTCATCAACAATGGAAGTCTCAAATGTGTTGGTTAACAGAGAAACAGTTTTACGTCAGGACAATGCAAAAACGCAAAACACATCACAAGTTTCTTTTACCAGGCCAAGCCTTAAACCAAAACCATTACCAGACAATGAGAAACAAGGAAAAGGCATGCACTTACAGAATTTCCTAACGGGATCAGCAGCACACCTGAACGGCACACAGGACACAGCATGTGACCAAATACCACAAGTTGGTAAGTCAACTTATGTTTCCCAATTGAACCTGGAATCTTTACCTCAAGACTCGATATCCGTCTGCAGCGAAGCTACACAGTATGAAATGTTTAATGACTCAACGTATACTGTTGAGAAACCGAAAACGAATGAGAAGCCACGCCTCCCTCCGAAGCCAGAACATATGCTTCGGAAAACACAAGTTGCATCTTCAAGTGATGATCAACCACATGTTTGTGAAGAAATATATGATGACTGTGGGTACTCTGTACATACAAGTATTGAAGGACCTTCTGGAAACAGACCAGAATCACGGCAACCATCAAATCAAACTGAACTGAAATCCGACACTGTGCCACATCGTGTAGAAAATGCCGATCGACCACCTTCCCCACAAAGTCCTCCACCACTACCACTACGTCCGCCTCCACGACTGAACAGTGAAAAAAGTAACAGTTGATGGAACAGCTCAGGTCGATCCTCTTTGTGAAAAATGACCTTGTGTCATGAAAACTATTTTGGAGATCCAAGGACCTCATCTTTCTGTAACCTACTTCTGTAGGCTACCTCAGGTTTACCTGTTCGAATGTATATGGACCAATTGTCAAACTATTTCGAGTTAGTATTGACTAACGAGCATTTGTGACAAAATATTTCCAACTTATTTTACTTTCCATTGAATGACCTATTTTATACATTTTCTGACGTTTGTATTTCACTATATTCTTGTTAATATACATCTTCAATAGAATTGATATTTGGCAGTTTCGAGGCTCATAGCTTAACTCTCTCTCTCTCTGTGTCTATCTCTCTCTCTCTCTCTCTCTCTCTCTCTCTCTCTCTCTCTCTCTCTCTCTCTCTCTCTCTCTCTCTCTCTCTCTCTCTCTCTCTCTCTCTCTCTCTCTCTACGTGTGTGTGTGTGCTACGATACATAGAATGTACTGTTCTTCGATTTAAAGAAAAAGATATATGTATCTATACTATAGATCTGGCGATCCATGCGCCCAGGTCAACATATTGCCTCAATGCAAGTCGGAGTTGTAAGCAATAGATTTTTCTTCATGTAGTTGTAATGTAATATGTGTAGTGTGTGTATCAGTTGTCTTAACTTGAGTTGGGAACAATGTATTCACCCCGAAATAATTTACGTGTCACAAATGCTTCTTTCTGTTGTTTTTTCAAATCCACACTCCATGCTGTGTTCATAATGGTGTAGTAAAGAGTCAATGTTTTAAAACACATTTGTGTTAAAGTTACCAGAAATACCTTTTATAGCTTGTAACAACTTAACCAATAATTCTCTTTCTTAAGTATATTGATAACACATTGCCAAATAATTTCTTAAAATGTACTTTACTTTTCTGGATTATCTTGTTACGTGTGGCTGTAAAAACCCTACTCGTCACTGTCCTGTGATCGGCCGGTCGCCTCCTGTACTGTGCCTTCGTGTTCATTGGGCCATCGCTAGAAAATTTGTTTCCTGTAAATTATATTCTCCAGCATCGTATTCTCTCATCATGTGTTCGTTTGATATATGTCATGTCCTGTGTGTATGCAGACTCCAAGCCTGCTGCAAGTGTTTTGGTAGCTTTGATTTGCAAACAGAAGCGGGACTATTTAGTTCTACGTAGATATTTTTCATGTATTTATAGTCATTTAGCCACTTTGCTCATTGTACTACCTGTCATCTCCTTTGTGTATGCAAAAATGAAGTCTGCTACAAATGTTTTGGTAACATTCATTTCCACACAGGAGCGAGATTATTTAGTATCATGTAGATATTTTTCAGGTATTTATGGTCATATTAATCACTTTGCTCACTGTACATATCCTCACCACAAAGATTTGCAATTTAAGAACAATTACAAAAATGTTTTTGTGAGTATATTTTGTCAAAGGGAGATAATCGGTATGTAATCTTTTATGATTTTTCTGTATGGGTAAATTGCAGTAAGTACGTCCTGTTATAGTGGCGTGTAACAGTGCTGAAATTTGGCCTTGGGCTGTGCATTGTGTTAGCGGAATGACACACCTACGTTTCCTCGCAATGATGATGACAGGTAGAGTGATGAGGTGTCTGGCATTGTGGTCTGTGCGGTGAAATGGAACAGTGAGTGAGTAAGTCAGTTAGAATTTGATATTACAACGGCAGTATGTATAATTTATTTTAAAATAAGTTGTCGAAGGACAGTACGACAACTACGTTATCTAGTATTTTTAAAATTAGTTTGTGAATATGTTAAATGACAAACACAATATACAAAGCGGCTAGAGATTTCTAGCAACCAAAGGTCACCATGCTTGGTATCATGGGGACTCCTGCTTCCTGCACGGTTGCCTAGCAGGTTACTTATACTGTCCCTTCAGCTGCTAGTGATTGATCGATTGTAATGAGTGAGTGAGTGAGTTACTATCTTTAGTCACATTGGCAGTATTTCATTCCTGTCGTGACTAAAACAAATGATACAGAGATAAGAAATAATGCTTATTTTTATACTACTGGAATAAAATGCAAAAAGATAATAACATGATTTGCTGTGTGTTCCTTAATCACTGCTTAACTGTCGACAGGATAATATCGAAATCTGTATGATTTGACATTAGGCATCGTGAGATATGGTGTAAACAGTCAGTTCACAACATTCAGTACCGTGTGTAGCAACTATAGGCGTTGATGCAGGCTTGACAACGACGCAGAGACTACACTAAGCGATTGAGGAAAGCTTGGGGAATGCTATCCCATGTCTGTACCAACGCTTGTCCCGATTCAGGTTTATCTTGAACAAATAGAACTTTACATGATACTTTCTGCTGAAAGTCGCCCAAAACGTGCTCGATAGGGGACAGGCCCGGAGAAACAGCTGGTCGGGGAAGTTCTGGAATGTTCTGCTGTCTGGTGAAATCTGCCACAACACGAGTGGCACGTGGACGGGTATTACCTTGAGAATATTATTTGTGACACTGAAAAATAATTTTCAAACACTGTTAGTTTTACAACAGAATACTGTCCCGGGAGAGCGTGTGTACAGCCATAAAGTTAGTTATACAACAGATTACTGTCCAGGGAGAGCGTGTGTACAGCGATAAAGTTAGTTATACAACAGATTACTGTCCAGGGAGAGCTAGTGTACAGCGACAAAGTTAGTTATACAACAGATTAATGTCCAGGGAGAGCGTGTGTACAGCGATAAAGTTAGTTATACAACAGAATACTGTCCAGGGAGAGCGTGTGTACAGCGATAAAGTTAGTTATACAACAGATTACTGTTCGGGGAGAGCGTGTGTACAGCGATAAAGTTAGTTATACAACAGATTACTGTCCAGGGAGAGCGTGTACAGCGATAAAGTTAGTTATACAACAGATTACTGTTCGGGAGAGCGTGTGTACAGCGATAAAATTAGTTATACAACAGATTACTGTCCAGGAGAGCGTGTACAGCGATAAAGTTAGTTATACAACAGATTACTGTCCAGGAGAGCGTGTGTACAGCGATAAAGTTAGTTATACAACAGATTACTGTCCAGGGAGAGCGTGTGTACAGCGATAAAGTTAGTTATACAACAGAATACTGTCCAGGAGAGCGTGTACAGCGATAAAGTTAGTTATACAACAGATTACTGTTCGGGGAGCGTGTGTACAGCGATGTGTACAGCGATAAGGTTAGTCATACAACAGATTACTGTCCAGGGAGAGCGTGTGTACAGCGATAAAGTTAGTTATACAACAGATTACTGTCCAGGGAGAGCGTATGTACAGCGATAAAGTTAGTTATACAACAGATTACTGTCCAGGGAGAGCGTGTGTACAGCGATAAAGTTAGTTATACAACAGATTACTGTTCGGGGAGAGCGTGTGTACAGCGATAAAGTTAGTTATACAACAGATTACTGTCCAGGGAGAGCGTGTGTACAGCGATAAAGTTAGTTATACAACAGATTACTGTCCAGGGAGAGCGTGTGTTCAGCGATAAAGCTGTCTAAACAGGTTATTAATACAATAATAAAAGTGATGGCAATAGTTGTAATGCTCGATCAAATGAATATGTTCTATGTAATAACTATATATACCCTGGAAGTATTCATTCTGTACTGTTTTACGCGAAAGACGTGGCACTAAACACGGACACTAAATCAACTGGTACAACTACGTGCTAGGGAAGCTGGGAACTTCCTGATAAGATAGATGCTCATGACACAGAATTTCCCAAATTAACCTGTGAAGCAAATGGGTTTAAAATATTTATCATAAATGGGTGGGTATATGACACCCTGAATACCGCTGATATATCGCGTACTAATAGATTTTTCCATGTGAATATTGCAGCAACAAAAAGGTATTCACATATGACGTCAATGCATCGGCGAATCTAACGTGACACTTACATTTGCTGCACCGCAATATCGTCGGCAACTAGGTACCATAACGAAATGCGTAATGATATTACACCTATCATGAAGAATACAAGCTGAAACACATGATCACAACCTAGATATGACGAACTGTTCAAGCGCGGCGCAACAGTTCAGCGTGTGGAAAGTCAGCCTTTCAGAGTAACGAGCTGATGAAAGGAAAAGGACAGTTCTGGAACAGGAGCCGAACGAGCCCCTCTTTTGATTGAATCAACTAAACAACACTCACTTACTGGGCTGGGGCCCAACATAACCCACTATTCAAACTCGTCACACATAAAAACAGCAACATAAAGAAATCAACACTCAAAAAATTCAAATTAAATCCCCTAAAAGCTCCATGCCTCACCCACCTCCACAAACTACTACAGGCACAACAGCTAAACGACATACAACACACACCTCCCATTACAAGCTACATCCTCGACTTACCCCCACCCACCACAGACACCACCTTAGACAACATTCTCCAGCAGTTACCAAAAAACACCAACAAATCCACCATAACAAACATCACAAACAACTTTATAAACAATAACTACCCAACACACACCCATATATATACAGACGCCTCAATCAACCCAAACAACACAACTGGTATAGGCCTATATGTCCAGCAACCCCCATTTACAACCAACCTGCACTATACAAACCATACCTCAATACACACAGCAGAACTAACAGCTATCCTCACTGCACTCCATCTAATACCTACCCTCCCACAATCTAACTTCTTCATTCTCTCCGACTCACTAGACTCCATTAGGCAAATACATAACAAGTACTCCAAATCTCGCCCTGATCTCATTCACAATATCACAATCCAAACCGACTCACTTAAACGAGCAAATAAAAACATAACCTTCACCTGGATACCAGGCCATTCAAACATACTAGGAAACGACACAGCAGATACAGCAGCCAAATTAGCAACAACACAAAAATCACCAAATATAAACTTTCATACATCCAAAACAGAAACTAAACAACTCATAAAATCAAATATCCGCCACACTGATTTCCAACACAACATAAACAACAACAAATCAACATGGGTTACTTCCATTATTAAATCACCATTAAGAAAAATTCCCACTTTCTCAAACATTAAAAATATTGACTCAGCCATAAACAGACTCATCACAGGCATCACAAACCTCAACCACACACTTTACAAACAAAACAGACATGCAGATGGATTATGCACACACTGTAATACCCAAGAAGACATAAATCACATACTAATACACTGCCAGCTACAACAGACCAACATTAAGCATCTACAAAACAACATTCCCTCTAAATACCACAATAACATCCCACTACTCCTCAACCCCCACAACCCAACAAGTATCTTCAACGCCCTTACAGTATTCCTACAAAATTCAAACCTTTTAAAAAGAATCTAAAATTCATTAAATAAACTACAGCTACCTCTCTCACCTCCCACCTACTGCAACATTCAGGCCAGCCGTTCAAACCTCGATTATCCACTCTGCCCCGCTACAATTCCAGACACGGCACCCATGTTCATTTATCCATACTCTGCACACGCCACGCTCGCTCTCCCCTCTCGCTAAATGTACACAAACCCGTCACAAGCCCACAATGCCAAGGTCAAGGTCACCCGCCAGCCAGCTAAACAACACCGCTTGTCCCTCAACCCGGCCTCTGCCTCTCTGCGCCTCACTTGCTCCCCTCACCCACCTCCCCCCACCCCCTACCCTCCAACCTAACACCTGTCATTTATGCACCCTTATTGCCCCTTATATAACTTATGCAGCTTAACTGCATCTAATATCTGCCCCTATGCTTTACATTCTTAGTACTACCCTCCTGCCCTCCCCCGCGTTACCCACCCACTAGGCCCCCTTTACAGTCACCTATCGTTCATTTCAATTCTTCTTCTTATTTATTAACAATCACTATTCCTTTACAAACTTTTATTTCCTTTTCCTTTATTTAACTTGGCTTTTTATTATTTTTTATCTCTATTTAATGTTTTAAACGCTTTCTCACACGCGAACGAAATTTCAACCAATCAGAGCGGTGCGACTCTGTGACGTCATATGAGGAATAGCTTGGAGGGCCGGTGCAGAATTCATCTACATTTTAGGGGTTAATTTATCTTGTTTACAGGCTTGTATAAACCTGAAATCGTGACAATTGTTGTGGAAAATGAAAGCTATATGTTCTCACAATCTACTGTCATTTAATTTTGTCTCTTGCTTTACCTAGTTTCCGAGTTACAACTTGTTTTCATAGACGATTCTGTCAAAATCGATTGGTGTCGTTAGGCCCTATTTGTATAATGACTGATCCAAATTGATCCCATTTCTGTGTTTTTTTACCTCGAAATTTAATCATGTCATGTAAAAATCTGTTTGTATTCTCAAAACAGTGTCGGCCCATAAGTTTTCACATGCAATACAGCAAT